AAAAAAAAAAAAAAAAAAAAAAAAAAAAAAAAAAAAAAAAAAAAAAAAAAAAAAAAAAAAAAAACCAGAGAAAGAAAGCGAGAAAAACAAAAACAAAAAGAAAAAGAGAAAAAGAGAAAGAAAGAAAGAGAAGATGGGTTTCGGGGGTCGTCGTCGTTCTAAGCCTCATGAGCCAGAGATAGAGGAGAGTGTATGTATGTTATGGTATATAGTATGTGTATTAGGTTTAATAGGTGTAAGTATAAGCGTTTCTTCTTTATGTTTATCTGAGTGGAGAGTAAGCAGCTCAATAGACTATAGATATATGTTTAGGGGAGAAGAGAAACACCAGCAATATAACGAAACAAAATGGGGTTTATATTCTATTTCTTTTGACGGGGGGAAAAGTATAGTTTCTTGGGCTAATAGAGTAAGCACAAGTACAGAAGCTATAACAAACGCAGTTAATATAGGCCAGCAACAAACCACAAACCCCCAGTATCAGTCTTGGGCTGCACAGTGCCCTTCACCCTGTCAGGATGCTCTGACTACTAGGCTTTCATGTTATAAGAGATTAAGTAATATAAACACATTGCTGCTAGCTGCTGTTTCTCTCTCNTATCTTATTATTTCTTCTTTTTTTCTAGCTTCTCTTCTTTCTTTTGCTGTTGCTGGGTACTGGGTATGGGAGACAAATACATGTTTTAATATGATTATACTATCACAGCAATTTCCTTTACCGAAAATATCTTTAGCTTTTTATCTTATGCTTGGTGGTACCTCTCTCTATCTTCTTTCTTCTATATTGGGTATTCTAGCGGACTTAGTCGATAGAAACAAAGAAAAACAACAAAAAGAAATCCTAAAGAGACAAGCATTGCTGGAGAGTGCAGGGGGCCCTGATGCATTCGCTCCAGGCATCATGGGGCCCCCAGGCATGCCCCCAGGTCTTATGGGGCCCCCAGGTATGATGGGGGGCCCCCCAGGGATGATGGGGGGGCCCCCAGGTATGATGGGGCCCCCAGGCATGATGGGGCCCCCGGGGATGATGGGGCCCCAAGGCATAGGACCACCCATGGGGAGACCCAGCGTCATGGGGGGCCCCATGGGGGGCCCCATGGGGGGCCCCATGGGCAGGGGTCTACCCATGGGGGGCCCCATGGGGGGCCCCATGGGGGGGCCCATGGGGGGGCCCATGGGGGGGCCCATGGGGGGCCCCATGGGCGCTAGACCCAGCATGATGGGGGCCCCCGGCATGATGGGCATGCCGGGGAAGGCACCGCCAATGCAGAGTCTCAGCATGAGGCCGCCAATGTAAGGGGGCCCTAGCTGAGGCCCCCTGAGGGCGGGGGCCCCTGGGGGGGGCCCCTGGGGGCCCCTGGGGGGCCCCAGGGGGGGCCCCTCACAGGGCCCCCATGGGGTGTGGAGAGATACCCTTGGGCGGCACACATAGAAACCCCGGGCATACAACAGCAGCACGAGGAGGCAGCTGTACCAATGCAGCAGGAGGTGCAGCAGAAGCAGCAGCAGGAACACTGCAGCAGGAGCTGCAGCAGGAGCTGCAGCAGGTGCTGCAGCAGCAGCAGGAGCTGCAGCAGCAGCGATGCTTCAGGCATACTTACTTGGTGTTGCCGCGCGCAGTTCCAACTGTAGAGGACTGCAGCAGCAGCAACAGAAACAGCAGCAGCAGCAGCAGCAGCAACAGCAGCAGCAGCAGCAGAGAACGCTATGCAGCTGCTGTGAAGGTTTCTAGGGTTAGAAACCTGCTGCATCAGCAGCAGCGAAGCAGCAGCAACGGCAACTGCTGCTGCTGCTGCTTCTATGGCTGCTACTTCTTTTGTTTTTGCATTCCTTTGCTGCTGCTGCTGCTGCTGCTGCTGCTGCTGCTGCTCTTGAAGGAGCGTCTGGAGACAGCAGCAAAGTCTTCAGAGAATGGCTGTTGCAGGTGCTAACCATAACTGCAGCAGCAGCAGCAGCAGCTGNAGCAGCAAAGTCTTCAGAGAATGGCTGTTGCAGGTGCTAACCATAACTGCAGCAGCAGCAGCAGCAGCTGCTGCTGCTGCTGCTGCTATGGGGGCTGAGTGCTGACGGGGAAGCCTTTAGGAAGCCTTTTGCCTTTTGTTTTGTGGGGCCCCTGTTTGGTGCTGCAGTTCAAGCGAGCCTCAGCAGCACAAGTGCTGCTGCTGCTGCAGCTGCTTGGGCTGCAGCAGCAGCAGCAGCAGCAGCAGCAGCAGCAGCAGCAGCAAGCAGCAGCTGGGGCTGCTCGAGCTGCAGAGACACCGCAGCAGGGAGGCTGTCATGTTTTGCAGAAATACGAACACTTAACATTTCGTAATATCATAGAATACAAAGCAGCAGCAGCAGCAGCAGCAGCAGCAGCAGCAGCAGCAGCAGCAGCAGCAGCAGTAGCAATAGCAGAACTGCTGTTGCTGCTCCACCGAGCTGCAGCAGCACCAGCACCAGCTGCAGCAGCAGCAGCAGCTGCTGCTGCTGCTGTCTGCTGCTGCTCCAGCTTACATAGTGTGGAAGCCGGTAGCCGTAGCAGCACACCTAGGCACGTGCACTAGACAGAGACAGCAGCAGCAACTACACAGTAGTCGAGTTTAGTGGATGCACTGCTGCAGCAGCAGCAGCAAGAGCAGCA